ATGGTCACGGCTGCCCGCGTGTGAATCGCGAGCCGCTCCAGACGCGCCGTGACGTTGACGGGCTGGCACAGGATCGGGTTGGCGTGCACTGCGAACTAGTCAGAAACGCGGTCGGAGAAAATGGGACTTGACGAACCTCGAGTCTCTCCCTTCGATGCATATGCCGAATTTTCCGAAACCGAACCCACCGTCGCTCGGCTGCCCGCGCTCGTTCACACCCCAGCCTTTGATAACGTCAATCCAACTCCTTACGGTATCCTCGTCCTTGGGCATGACGAAATCGAAGAACGACCTGCCCATAACTCGGGGAGTAGAGAGCAGACTATCGTTCGAGCAGTAAAGGATGGGGCAGGTGAGGGAAAACCGGTCGAGAATGAGGGCAGTGCGGATGGATTGTTCAGGAAGAGGCGCAAAGTGTTTTGGACCCTCTTCCAACTCGGGTGAAGAAGACCTAGACGAGCCTGGAGTACCACCATTGCGGATAGGGCTCGGGACTCGACATGGGGGCATGGGATTCGGATCGTTCCATCGCTGTGCGGATAAATGGTCATTAGGTCGCTTGCGGCCCGATACGATCCTACGAGACTTACCCTTAACTCAAAATCTTTGGCGTATGGCGTGATGATCCTTACTTCTTGTGCGGTGGAAGCGTTGTGCATAGCCTTCGGGCCTGGAGACGCGAAGGAGACACTGCCAACAAGCACATTCTGCGCAACGGTACGAGACTGGAAAATAGTTCCTGGGAAGTTAACGGCGAGAATCAATCGGAGGCGGAACCAACACGCACAATGGCGCAAAGGATGTAGCCCTTGCATGGGTCCTTGTGCTTCATGCGCAGGTACGCGAGAACAGCGGCTCTGTCCTGAGTGATAGTCGAGTAATGCATTGCCTTGACTTGAACAAACTCGTCAGGGTGGACAAGGTCCAGAGACGGCGTGCCGACCAGTTCATGGGGCTCAAAACCTAGACGAACGGGATGCGATTAACCCTTCCGGTTTCTGGCGAGTAGTGTACGTACCGAGGAGGTCATAGACGGATTCTGAGAGGTATAGCCATCGGGCCTGCGGGGAGGCAAGTCAGCCAGCTGTTTCGGCCGGGCGTCAAAGAGTAAGCGCGCTGACATTTTCTGTGAAATCGACAATGCCAACTGTGTTCGGTCAGTGAACGGGTCTGGGGAATGGCAACGATGAAAGAGACGCACTGAAAGAGACGCAGGGCGTGTTTGTATCCATAGCGCTAGGAGGATGGGCGGGACTAGCGAGGGGGTGGTGGTGGTGGTGGTGGAAAAGAAGGAAGGAGGACGGGCGGTAGAGATAAGTCACGACAATTCTAGAAGCACAAGGGAATGTTCCGTACTAGGCAGGCAGTCGTGTACAGAATGACTCGGAGAACGCGCACTGTCTGTAAGGGCGAGGAGAGATGTCGGATCAGGCCTAGAGAGAGCGGCACCGGTCTGGCTCAGAACAAGGGCGGAGAAAAAGGAAAGAAAAGGAGAGAGGTAAAATTTGTGCAGTTGCTGAGCGATTAGAGGAGTAGAGGGGGCACCGGAGCGTTCTAACCGGCCGCAAGGCGAATTGCACGGACGTAAAGTTGACGGGGTGTGGAGAGGCAGGAGAGAGGAGGTCCGAGTAAACGAGCCGCCGTGGAATTTTTATGAGAGACGGAGGGGACGTCTGGGAAGCTGGCGCTGGGCAGGTAGAGATGCGGAGGGATGAGAGAGGGAGCGGGGTCAGTCCGAGTCGAAGCAGGAATGAGCCTAGCGGAGACCGAGCGGAGACCCAGTGGTGCGGGACGAGCGAAACGCCCAAGATTCAGTGCACCGTCTGCATCTTCCCACGCCCGCCCCTCCGGACACACAGCCGAGATTTCCTCCGCCGCAGATTCCTGCCAGTGCCAGTGTGCAGCCTGCTCGCTTGCTCTCCCTCCGACGCAGGAACGCTCGCACAACGTCCGAGTCTGCCCCCACGCCTGGCACACAATGTGGTCGACTGCACGCGAAATCGCAGCCGGGGACGTCGTGATCATCTGGCTGGTAAATGCATTCCCTTCTTCCTCCACAACGACCGTCCCCCGTGCTCACGCTTCCCTTCTCAGACAAGAGACCTCATTCAGCCCTTGTTAATCACCCCCGGAAAAGAGCTCAACAGCAGATTCGGCGTATACCGCCACGCAGACCTCGTCGGCGTCCCATATGGCTCCAAAATAGGCTCGCGCAACGGCAAGGGCTTCATCCACGTCCTCAGACCCACCCCAGAGCTCTGGACGCTCGCCCTCCCCCACCGTACGCAGATCCTCTATCTCGCAGATATCGCTTTCGTCTGTTCATGGCTCAACATCAAGCCTGGCAGCCGCGTCATCGAAGCTGGTAAGTTTGTTCTTCCACGATTGACAGTGTGATCCGCGCCCACTCAGCAAGCCATCGCAAATCCCTTGATTTGCTCGACGATTCATCGCCCTGTGGTGCGTTCATTGCTCCGATGCAGCGGTGCACGATCGCTCTCGGGACTCTGCATCGTCTTGCAGTGCTGCGGATGCGGAAAGTCGCAAGTTGGTCAGACGAGTCTTGTGCGCTCGCGCAGAATCTTTGCCTTGTTTTTCCAGTTGCGTCAGCTGACTGTCCGGCTCATATATGCGTCGTTTCTGTCATCAGGCACTGGCTCTGGCTCGTTTTCGCATTCCGTGGCTCGCGCAATTGGGTCTAGTGGTCACCTCTGGTCATATGAATTTCATGAAGCGCGCGCAAACAAGGCCAGGTACATCTCTCTTCAGTCGCCCAGATTAGGCCAGATTCCGTTGTTGTAATCGCTTGCCGCGAGCAGGATGAATGGACGACCATCGTACCACCTCGCTACAACAGTCGCTTCTTGTGACTACTGGAGCCACCGTTGTCAGGAGCTACTGACACGTTTCTCGCAGGGAAGAGTTCACTCGCCATGGCATGGACCCCATTGTCACGCTCACCCACCGGAACGTGTGCAAAGACGGCTTCACAGTTGTTGACACGGTTGACTCGGGTGCGTTTCACATTCGGTCCCGAATCGCTGTTCCAAGATCTGAGCATGATCGCCCCCGCTGCAGTTTTCCTTGACTTGCCTGCCCCGTGGGACGCTGTGGAACACGCCAAGAGGGCCCTAAGAGTGCGCACTATTGTTTCCTCCAGACCTTTGTATTATGAGATTGATTGCGCCCACAGAAAGACCGCATAACGCGGATCTGCTGCTTCAGTCCGTGTATGGAGCAAGTACTCAGGACGGTTAGTGCGTTGAACGACGCCGGTTTCACGGGTGCGTGTGCCTCAGACTCCGATTTGGGCGTTCGCCGCCACTACGTCATGACTCATCAACGAGTTTTTTTTTTCTTTTTCTTTTTTCAGACATCACTATGTACGAAACGCTGTCTCGTCCACACCAAGTCGACCTCGCGCCCGCTCTACTGCCGATAAGCGAGGTCGGTGAAAGGTTGAAGAGGGCGGAGCAGCGCAGAGAGGAGAAACGATTACGGCAAATTGCCAATGCGCGTGCCGCCGCGGGGAAGCGGAAGCGGACTGGCGAAGGGGAGGATAATGACGCGGACGCGGCGGGGATCGCGGGAAAAAGACATAAGATGGGCGGCGACGGAGATCTCAAAGGCAGCGAGCCTGAACAAGCGCCCGCCACGTTTGACTCCGATCCTGCGCCGGCAAAATCGGAGGAATTGCCGTCTGTTTCGGCGTCTCCTCCTGGCGCTGTCGCATCATCGCCGGCGGCGGACAAGATTGGCCTCTCGAAAGCGTTCCCTGAAGTGCGAGGGCACACATCATACCTCACCTTCGCTTGCCTGCTGCCACTGTCCTTGAGCGCTGCGGCCGCTCTGGAGCCAAATACAGACGCTTCCGACGTGGAGCCACCTTTCCAGGCAAGTGTCCACTCCAGCCTTCACATTTTATGCTTGTGGATGTTAACAATGATTAGGAAAATAAGGATAATACTACTGGTCTAACTGCTGTGTAAGTAGAAAATATATATACTATCGCTGTTTATCCCGCGATGGCTTTCCTATATGCCTTCTCCCTCTCTTGTTCCTCTTGGATTTGACTGGCGCTCTTTGCTCTGCGCGTTCTGAGAACTCGGGTACTTGCAGGAACCACAGCCGGAGCCTTTCTAGCGCGTTTAATTGTGGACGGCGAATGAGAACGGCCATTCTCGCCCTCCGATGCTGGGTCGGAGCTTTCATCGTCTTCTCTGGCACGCTTCTTTCCCCTGGCATCGGGGTTCGGCGTTTGTTTGGCCATCTTGACTTTCCTACCCCGAGCCGTCGTGCTCTTTGACGTCGTCTGCGCGCCAGCTTTTGATCGTCGTAATTGTAGACCTGGGGCGGCGTCTGGTGCTGACAACGTCATCCGAGCATTTTGAGACAAATGTTCCCCGGGCCGATCCTCGTGTTGTCTTATAGCCTCTTCAGCAAGTTCGAACATGGTCTTCGGCACACGCTGTGACTGGCTGTCGAGCTGTTCAGACAAAGAGGGTGGTATCACCTCTTCCATATCATTGTCTTCGTCAGTTCCGTCGCCGATTTCTTTCAGATCATTCATCACAATGCTATACACGGTGTTTTGTGCCACTTCAGTCTCAGGATCTTCGTCTTTCTGTTGTCTTTGAGATTTTAATGATACAGTGGTAGAAGGCTGAGGAGCCTCGTGAACAGTTCGCGGCAACGTGTATCGCTGGACGACAGCATCTGCGCCAGTGAGAAACCCGCCTTGTCCCTGAATATCCTAATTCACACAAAAAACATCGGTCTTGCGGATGATTGCAACAAGAGAGGGCCATACCTCTTCCGCGTCATCCATGGGTCGGTTAGCAAGCTGATCAGAGCCGGCATACTGTTCCTGCAGACGTTGTCGAATCCGAAGACCGTGCACCAGCCTTGTCCAGCGTTTGAGCACTTGTTCTTGTTGTTTGGCACGTCTCTTCTCTTCGGCATCATGTTCCGCTTCCCAGTACGCCTATGGTTGGCACAGCGGTCCCAGCGTTGTCATCAGAATTGCGGGGCATCAGTCAGATAACCTCGCTAGTTCATCAGCTGCTTGAACTTACCTCAAGCAGGACATCCTCGTTCTCTGCTGCGACGACTATGCCTGTGATGACAGGGAACGCTCTCCGCTTTTTGAACTCAAAACCTGTCTGGGTGGGATTGATTACATCGCATGCCCATTCGGCCAGAAATCGGAAAACACGTACCACCGCTTCCGCGTAGTCGAACCCTAGCTGTCTGGCAACTTTCGCCGTACCTTTATCTGCAATAGGAAGACGTGATTGGAACCGCTGATCTGGCGTCGCAAATGAAGGTACTTACATGGAACGTGTACCGCCCCCGCAGGCAGCATGGTAGGCACATACAAGTCGATATTCCCAAAGTCGTTTTTCGGAACCTTGCCCTGCACTCATGCCTTAGGAGGTCAGGAGACGTAGAAGTGCTGCGAGGCTCTCACATTGACGACTGGATCGGGCGTGTAGAGTACCGTTTGGCTCTCCGCATACATGCCCTGCATGACACCGTCTTGACTAGCGAAGCCCTCGCTCCCGGGCTGATCCTCGCGGGACTTGCCTTCGGCCAGCGCCATCTCGATGGCTCGTTGCTTGTTGACGGTCATGGCGCGCTGCTTGACCCACTTCATGGGCTGAGCACCTTCCCGGACTGTACGACCCTGCCGCATCCAGTTCTCGGCAGTTTTTAAGGCAACTACGGACGAGCGCGGATAGACGGCTTCCCCACGGAACTTGCCCAGTTCCACAAGCGGGTGAATGACTTGGTCGCGCTTCAGGTGCCGTTCAAGCACATATCTGATAGAATACAGCCGCAAGTCAGACTGGGAGACGCCATGGGTGGCACAATTCAAGCGCTCACAGGGGATGATCCTTGAAGCCCGCCATGGTGGTGGGCATGGCTTCAGTGAGCTGATTAATCTGCAGCTCGTCGTCTTCCAGATCATCACGATTCTGCGGCGGAGATGCACGGTCACTCGAAGGTTCTGAATGCGGAGAAGGGGAGGGGGTTGTTAGGAAAAAGCCACGTACCAATCTGTAAGGACGTTTCACCAAATTCAGGATTCTCTCCCACCACTCCTTCCTGCCTTTGCCTCCCTGCTGCACCTTTGCGACCTTTGCGCCATACTCCCTGGCGTATCGGGGGGTGACGTCCCTCGCAAAGCCGTCCTCCTCAAAAGCAAGGACATATACCATACGGTTCTCGACTCTGTACAGTCGCGGATCTGTCTGCTTTGCGGAAATATGGGGCGTAGGATCAAACGCCTTGCGCTTGTTGATTATGCAACGGATCGGGTCGATCGGGAGCCAGCGCGCATCTGCGCGGGAGAAGACCTCTGTCCAAAAGACGGGCGGCGTCGTGGCTGGATCCGGGGTGCGCTCGCCTACACCAAGAAAGACTCGTCAGCCACGCTCAGACCGCCGCGAGGAGAGCAGCAATCACACACGTCGCTGGGGCTTGTCGGCAGAGCCAGAACCAAGCTTGCGTCCTCTCGACTTTCTGAGCTTGATGACGGGAGGAGCCTTCTGCTTGCCTTTGGCACTTACGGCAGGAGTCTGGCCGTCAAGTCGCTGGCCTTCTCCCGAGAATGTGCCATTGGTCTTGCCCCCATCAGACAACGGAGCAGCAGCAGCGCTCTGCGGGGCAGATATCTCGACTTTCTCCATCTCCTCGTCGTCTTCGTCGCTCGGATCGACAGCCTTGCCCTTGCCCTTGCCGCCCTTCTTCTTCGCCGGCGCCTTCGGCTTCCCGACGCTCGCTTGCCACGGGACGCTCTGCAGGCTGACCATCAGCCGCGCGGGGATGCCCAGGGCTCTGCACAGCGCCGTGAACAGCTGCGCACTCGTGTCCCGCGTGCCGCGCATCATCAGCGCATGCTTCATCAGGCTCTTCGCGCTCTTGACGATCTCGCCCGCATCCTCATCGTCGCTCTCCCGCGCACGCGCCTTGCCCTTCGGGTCCGCAGCCATCTCCCTCTGCACGTCCGCGAACACGCGG